GTGAAGTTGTTTCTTGAAGGATAGAGAAGTATGCACTTGTGGATCAGCTCAAAAGCATCCTTCCTGGAGGACACCACCACCCTAATTTACTGCCTCCCCTCTGGAGGGGGGGACCTGCTGCATTCACTGAGGGAAGTGCTTTCCTCACATATCCAGGTGTGCACGGGTGGTCTACTTTTACAAATGTTCTCTGCTGGAGAAGTCCCATATTGCCACCTAGTGGAAGGCACAAGAAATTTCCTCACGAGCCCTGGTCAAGACAGAAACCACCATTTCTCCCAGTAAGCGGGTGCTGGAGGACCTCCACCCCAGGTTTTACCAGGATCCACAGCTTAACAGTCAGGGTGGAGAGAGGGGAGGGGAGAATGGTCACAGACCACTCTCTCCAGTCACACCCCCAGGCCCTACAAGGCAAGATGGACGAAAAGGTGAAGGCCCCAAGATAGGCAGAGGCCAGAATGAGGCCACGGAGAGGGAGGTGGGGGACGAAGCAAAGGAGGGAGTTAGACAGAATTCAGCATCTGGAGAGCACTGTCACTGTCCTCTGTGTTTTGATTTCTTCCTCTTCGTCTTCTTCTTTTTTTTTTTTTTTGCCCCATCTTAATACATTAAGAAAAATCCTATTCATTAAGTTATAAAACAATGAACCACCCAGTGACATAACGTGCAGAGAATGAGAAAAAGAACTCAGAGTGTCCCTGGACACTGCCAAGAGGGCCTCCCCAGGCCGGGTGCTCCCTCACAGTTCCCATCTCCTGAGCTCCCTTCTCCCCAAGGCAGGCAAGGCGTTCCAGGCCGGGGAAGTCACTGCATGCGGCCTGACTGCCTGCACTCCAGCTGGAGCTCTCTGAGGATCTGTCACTGAGGGTGCGACAGAAGAAAGGATCTAGGCCTTGGAAGGGAAGAAGAGAAAACGCAGAGAAAAAAAACCGCCCCGGCACCAGACAGAAGAAAAGCTGACACTGAGCAACGCAGGGAGGACCTGGAGCACAGACTAGGCTCGCGGACCAGGGCAGCCTCCTGGGCAGGGTCGCCGGAGCACTGCAGGAGCTTGGACAGCGGCTACTGGGCACTGGTGGGCCCAAACTGAACAGGTCCTGGAGTGAAACCTTGTAACCAGACATCATGCAATTTAGAGAGACACTGGGAACTGGGGTGCAGCTCAGTGGTGGAGTGCACACCTTGGCTTCCCCTCAGCAAACACACCCCCACACAGCACAATTCGATGTGAATAATAATGCTGAGCTAAAATTTATAGCTAGTTTACTTTCCATATTTTCTAAAATGAAACCATATTTTTCTAACTAGAAGAAAAGCTCAGTGATGAAACTTTAGCAACAATAAAAACTTTTTTTTTGTCTTTTTGAGACAGGGTCTCCCTGTAGCCCTGGCTGGCCTGGAACTCAGTATGTAGAGCAGGCTGGCCTCGAACTCACAGAGATTCACCTGCCTCTGTCTCCCAAGTGCTGGGACTAAAGGTGTGTGTTCACTACCACACCCAGCTAAAAAAGTTTATTTTTTTTTAACTGGGCAAGGAGGAATCTGCTGCCAGCACAGGACAGGCACGCACTTCCACAGGTGCTCCTTCAATCCGCCTAGTCTGAGGTTCTGTTTGTGCCACAGCAGCCTGGAGTTGGGGACATTCTGTGAGCTCGTGCAGACCCAGAAACACACCAGTCATTTCCTTTGTGACGTGACTGAAAAGCTGGGATGCCCAGGGTTCTGAGCGCACAGTTGCTGGACACTGGGCAGTGCTGAATGACCCTGAGACTCCTTAAACGTGGGTGCCTGTTTTCAAAGTGTGCTGCATCAGCGGGAAGGACTGCTGCACACTGCCATCTCCATCTGCAGACCCAGCAGTCCCACAGAGCACTGCTCTCTGGCCCTCCTGAGATAGATTTTGTGTTGTTTTTTTTTTGGGGGGGGGATTCTTTTATGAAACAGGGTCTCCCTGTAGCCCCAGCTGGCCTGGAACTTGTTACATAGACCAGGCTGGCCTAGAATTCAGAGATCCGCCTGCCTCTGCCTCTCAAGTGCTGGGATTAAAGGCATGAGCCACCCTGCCTGGCCTGAGACAGATTTTGTACTGGAATCTTTCTGAAAGAAGACAATCACAGTGGAAGTGACATGAACCATCTCCCATTTGGCTGTCACCCCATTCCTGTGTGACTGTCTTTGTAACTCAACACCTGCTTCATCACCAAACCACTCCAGCTGCCCCTACTGAGTGAGCCCCCAGGAGCCACTGCCCTCCCCATCATGCTCCACCTCTCGGCTGGGCGAGCACCAGTGCAGTGCAGAGAGGAGTGCAAGGGAACTTGCCTTTTCCATCCGTGGCGGAGGCTTCTTGTAAATGTCTGATTGACCTAAAAGCAACCATTTGGAGGACAGAGGTTAGCTGACAAATTTGCATGCTTTTCTATTTCAGGCTCTTGTAGCTTGGGGCTTTGAATTCCTGAATTATAAACTGAAGTGGCTGGCCAGATGACTTTAGCACACTCTCCCTAAAAAAGAGATCTCTGCTAATCCACTCTTGGCCATCTATGGCGCTGGGGCTTAGGGGGTGATGCCCTCTGCTGGTGGAATCAGGGCCAGCAGGAAGGGAAACAGGAACAGGATGTTTTAACCCTCCTGACCCTTACCACCCTTCCTCTCTAAAGAGAAGCAGCATTAGGCAGCCCAGCCATCACGAGGGAATGGATCTGAGGAGAAAGTCACCACTGACTTCTAAAGTTGAGGTTTGGGAGCCGTGAACATACGGCTTCACATAAACTCACTTGGTTGCCCAGAAATTCGTAGTGCTGTGGAAAACAACCGTCTCCTGGGAGTCTTTTCTCTAGCTGTGCTGTACTGATAACTAATCACCATCATGACGGTTCAGTCAGGGGACACTAATATTATTAAAGATGCTGGAGGGCTGGGCATGGCAATGTGTGCCAGTAATCCCAGAACTCAGGAAGCTGGGGGTTCAAGACTACCTTGGGCTACACAGTGAGACTTCGCTTAAAAAACAAAACCAGGGCCAGGTGGGGGGGGCACGCCCTTAATCCCAGCACTCGGGAAGCAGAGGCAGGCAGATCTCTGTGAGTTCAAGGCCAGCCTGGTCTACACAGTGAGTTCCAGGACAGCTGGGGCTACAGGGAAATCCTGTCTCAAAAAGACTGAGGAAAAAAAAAAAAAAATTCAAACAAAAACCAAACAATCTAAAGACACAAAGCAGGGTGTGTGGTGGGTGACACACACCTGTAATCCTATCACTAAGGAGGCAGAGGCAGGTAGATTTCTATGTGTTGAGACCAGCCTGGTCTACACACTGAGTTCCAGGCCAACCAGGGCTACATAATGAGACCCTGCCTTTAAAAAAAAAAAAAAAAAAAAAAAAAAGACTTGGACTGGAGGTCCAGGCACCATTCACAGCCACAAGTGAAAGCCTTTACAGAACAGGCAAGGTGGTGGGAGGGAAGGGGTGGGGACCTGCAGGCAGGGCTCCTGTTCTGGCACTCACTCTCCTGTCTATAGATAAATCACTTCCCAAACTTTGTACATGTGGCCCTTATGAGGTGTGAACAGACAAATGCTACCAGCAAAAAGCTGGTGCTGAACCAAGGCTGGCTGAGTCAAGTATTAAAAACTTACTGGTGCAATTTAGCTTTAAAATTGTATTTTACTTATTAGGGTATGTACATATGCACATGTGTGTAAGCATGTGAGAACACACGTGCCACACCATGAGTGTGGAGGTCAGAGGACAGTTTGTAAGAACTGTTCTTTCCTGCCACTGTGTGGGTCCCAGACACATCTCAGGTGGTCAGGCTTGGTAGCTGCTGGGCCGTTTGCTGGCTCACTGATGCTGTTTCTTTCTCTCTTTCAAAGATCTGTTTATTTTGTGTATGTGTATGCCTGAGTGTATGTACAAGAACTACAGATCTGCAGGTGCCTGTAGAGGCCAAAAGAAGGCATCAGATCCCCCGGAACCAGAGTTACAGACAGTTGTGAGCTGCCTGATGTGAGTACTGGGAACCGAACCTGGGTCCTCTACAAGAACAGAAAACGCTCTTAACCACTGAGCCACCTCCCTTAGCCCCTATGATGCTATTCCTTAAGTTACCTTTCTAGTGTTCATTGGTATTTCATGTCTTACAGCAATTTTCAGGATATGCATCAAAGGAATCTTGCCACCTGGCACCTGCACATTAATGCTGTAACTAACCAGTGGCAAGACATGGCCACTGGTGGCTCTACACTTGTCGGGGGCCCTTGCACTTTACTGTTCCAACAGTGGCAGACGTAAGAGTAGGCCTAACCTCTGTTCCTTGACAAGATCCTCGCTAACTGAGAACAGTATTGGCCAGCCTGGATTAGAGGTGCCCGAGTTGCCTGCTTTTGAGCAGGATGGTAGGGTGGTGGCTGCAGTGATTGGATGGCGATAGTAATGGGGATTCATTCTTCCCCTCACCCCCCAGATCTTGTTAGTTGTAGTCTAGGCTGGCCTGGAACCTGCTAGGTAACAGAGGATTACCTTGAACTTCTGATCCTCCAACTTCTATCTCCAGAGTGCTGGGATTACAGACATATCACCATGCCACCACATTTATGTGGAAGGAACCCAGAGCTTGGGACATGCTCAGCAAGTACCCTACCTCCTGAGCCACACCCCAGCACTCCTAGCCTCGCTTCTACAATGGCAGCAGTCTGCTGATGTGACCTGAGTATTTGTGCTGTGTGATCAACTGGGGGTTGGGGACCGGGGTGATTCTAATCAGAACCATGTTCGTGATAGTCAGGGTGACTGGCCGAACACCTGGCGACCCTAGGACTCTAGAGAACAATTCACTGCAGAGAATGCTACAGGAGGAAGCAGTTCACTCCCTAACATTACCCCAGAAGGAGTCTTGCTGGACAGCCATGGAACCACCAGGAAGGACAGAGCTGTCTTCACCAGCCATCTTTCCTCCACTTGGCTCCCACTAACCCAGCAACTGTGATCTGACAGGGCATTCTTTCTGATCGAGCACTGGTGGGGCACTAACATGCCCTTACACAAAATCAGAGCACACCAGGTGCTCTTTGAGCCCCCATTTCCCGGATAGAGCAAGCCACTCTCCAGAGCACCAAAGCCTGAGTGGCCCAAGAACTCCCACCAGCTTTACGTCAGTATGTATGCGCCCTCGCTTTCCGCCTAACAACTTTCCAGCTCACTTCACGTTAGAACACATCCTCATTTTCCATCTAATGACATTCCAACTCAGTCCCCACCAAATTCAGATTGGTGCTTTATGCTACTACTAAGTTCCCACTTCCAGACCCTTCTCTAAGGAATTAGAACTGGGCCTCATGGCAGCCCTGACTAGCTCTATTAGATTCTCCTGGGTGACTCTCAGTGGCTGGGGCCTGGGAGATTTTAAGAGCCAGGACCCTGTCTGTCAAACGGACGCCCTGTGTGACTCTGCTGGCTGCACATGCACTGCCCTCCCCTGGGTTACTCACCACACCACCGGGAAGAGGATGGCACCACAGCACAGCAGGTCAACCAGGAACAGAGAATCCTTCCACAAGCCATACTCCGTTGTGCCTTCCTCAGTAGACTCAATGATGATGTAGGCCACATTCGCCAGCACCTACAGGACACGAGACTGGGTAGTCTGAGTGCTGTTCTGACAGCAGCCAAGACGGAGCTCCACTGGGCCTGACAGCTTCAGCCTGTGGCTGCAGCAGCATTCTAGGGCTCTGGAGAACCCTGCCTCCCTGTTGGCCAGCCCTTGAGCCTGTGAAGTGGCTGTGAGGCTGTCTAACTTCCAGATGGACACAACTTCCTCCTGGCCCTCAGAGCCTGGAGCCTTCTTGTAAGTGTCTGGGTCTCCCAACTGCATGACAGTGAGATCATTGGGCGATCAGATGTCCAAGGAGCCTTGGCTGTTCCCACTCTATCTGACCAGGTTTTCCTAGCCCAGGAGACAGATTTAGGTGTAGACTGCACAATGCCCCGGGCCCTAGCCACCGACTTGACTACAACCTCGCCAGACCCCAGGCCAGGCCTAGTTAGACACTCCCAGATCCCTGACCCACAGACATGAAGAGAATTATAACTTAGTGTTGCCTCAAGTTACTAAGTTCTGAAGTGATTCATAGCAATGAGTACATAGAAGACACTTTGCTTTGGGGGTACCCTGAGCCTCAGGCAGTCCCCAAAGCTGCTTGGGCAGTTGGCACATCATGTCCTGCACAGTCAAGGTGTCCACACTGTTCAGGTCCGGCTCCTCCGGAGAACCCCTGGTCCCCAGGGAGAACGGCTCTAAGTGATAATGAGACTGTGGTCCCAGAGGTCAGAGCAGCAAGCAGCACAGGCTTCAGTCCTACAGCTGGTAGCGCCCTGGCTCCTCACAGGGCCAAGCCCAGTCCAGGTCTGCTGCACAGGAGGGACACAGGTCTTCCTGAGGCTCATCTGCTTCCATGCTTGGCTCCTGTTTCCACAGTTAAGGCTTAGCTTTGTGTCTGTAGCCCAGGTTTAGGCTCTTAGCACGTACAAATTTTCAACTGGCTAACTGAGAAGCTACTGCGCACAAGAAAAGTTTACAACTTACGATACTTCATCTGGATGATCACCATGAGATGTGATTCAGATAAAATGGGACCTACGGGGGACTGGAGAGATGGCTCAGCAGTCAAGAGCACTTGTTGCACAATGACCAGAGGCTAGATCCCAGGACTAAGAAACAAGCCAAAAGTCCCCCACACACCTCTAACCCCAGCTCCAAGGGGGCTGGAGACAGGAGGATGGTGGGATTTGCTGGTTTCCAGGCTAGGTGAGAAAATGCAAACTCCAGGTTCAGGGAGAGACTCTATCTTAAAGGAAGATGCAGTGATAAGAGGTCATCTGATGCCCATACACTTACACTCACACATGCACACACACACACACACACACACACACACACACACATTCTCTCTCTCTCTCTCTCTCTCTCTCTCTCTCTCTCTCTCATACCTGCACACACGAGTGCTTTTTTTTTTGTTTTTTGGAGATGCACTCCTGTAGTCCCAGCTGGCCTGAGACTTGATATGGGGACCAAACTGGCCTCAATCTCACAGAGATCTGTTTGCCTCTGCCTCCCAAGTGCTGGGATTAAAGGCATGCGCCACCATGCCTAGCAAGTTTTTTTTTTTGTTGTTGTTGTTTTTTAATGTTTTTGAGACAAGGGTCTCCTTGTAGCCCTAGCTGGCCTGGAACTCGCTATGTAGACCAGGTTAGCCTCAAGATCTGCCTGCCTCTGGCTCCTGAGTGCGCCACCATGCCTGGCCTGCCTAGCAAGTCTGAAATTTTATGTGAGCATTAGTACTTTCTATTCCCAAGTACTTTGGTCACAGAGGAGAGGTCTGCAGTACCAGGTTTTAAAGCTTTATTTTTAAAATGTGCCTATGAGTCTCACACGCCACCCACATGACTTGCTATGAAGGCCATTCTTAGTAGTTACAGGGAGTACAGCTGTTATGTGAGGAGGTCTTTAAGCGCAGTTTCGCTTTTTTATGTAAGATTTCCAAATTAAATCATCGTAGAAGTGAAACTTTATTTAATATGAATGTGTATCTTGAAATCTCAGTGTCCAGGGCCAATGGTTCAGTAGATAAAGTGCTTGTTACACAGCTGTGAAGGCTGGAGTTCAGACCCCTGGCACCCATGTAAATGCTGGCTGGGTGTGGCGACCCACTTGTAATGCCTTCAGTAGGGAGGTAGAGACCGAATCCCCAGAGAGCCCGGCTAATAAGACTGGCGGAATGTGAGCTCCAGGTCCAGCAGGAGGCCACCTAGGTAAGTAAGTAGACAGCAGTGGGGGAGACGCTGGAGGAAGGCACCAACCTCTGACTGACAGAGACACAGACACAGACCTACACACGCACACATTACATGCACACATGTGTGAACATGCGTATGTACACACGCACACGCACACACACACACACACACACACACACACACACGCAAAAAAGGAAGAAAGGGAGAAGAAAGGACTTTCAGTCTCCCCACTGACAAGACTCGGGGATTGCCCGTCATGCCCTAGACAGCTGCACCTGGGGCTCCGCTCCAACGCCAAGGCAGAAACAAAGGCCTCCTTCCGCAGCTGAAGTTCGCAGTCCCACTAGTTCTCAAGTCACACACATTACATGACAGCCAGGCTATTCACAGGGGCACAGTGTTGAGCCAGGTGCCCACAATGCTCTGGAGCGTCATTTGTACACATGTATCACACATTCCTGACTCAGCTCTAGGTGAGGGCTTGGGTGGGGCTCGGTATACTGCCTGCCTAGCATGTGCAAGGTCCTGGGTTCCATTCTCAGCTACACACACACACACACACACAAAGTTCTGTTCCTCCCTGTGGCCAAAAGGAAGCAGTTTTAACTTTAAAGGCAGATGGTCAAGGCCTTCCCAGACCAGGCCCATTATCTAAATATTCCTAACTTCCCGATCTTTAGTTTCAAATATCCTTATTTCCTCAGCGTGACGTTCGATGTTACTTTGTGTGTTCATCTTTCAGAGTCACGTGCAAGCAAGTAAGAGGGTACCACACTGCACCTCAGTTCAAGCCAGAGGAGGAGTCAACCTAGAGAAAGGCTTGACTGTCAGAGGGACACAGACAGCAACTGCCCTAGTGGAGGGAGAGCTCAGGTTCTGGGGTGGATGAGCTCTGAGAACCTTGGCAGGCTGTGGAAGTCCGCCTGGCCACTCAGGTGGCCCTGGTGGTTGTCACCTAAAGACCTGGATGTTTCTTGGCATGACGGTTCCCCTGACAGCAGTGTCAGAGCTGTCTGTGGTTACTCCTCTGCCTCTCCCATTTCTTTTCTTAAGCATCCACCCAAGTCCCATCTCTGTTACAAAGCCCTTCTAGATAATTCTGAGCAATTACTCTCTCCTTGGAAACCTACAGCAACTGGTCTGTGGCGCTGGCTTGTAGCTAACACAGGCTTCCCCTCACTGCAGTGAGAGCAGCTTTGATGTAGACCACCAGAGATGAAGAGGCTGATCTGAGGCCCAGGGAGTGAGGCTCTCCCCTCCCCAACCTGCCATGCCCACAAGGCACTCTGACTATCAAATGCAAGCAGCAGAGGGCAGATATTCCTCATTCGGCACCTTCTGCTTCTTACCGGTTCCTTTGCTCTGGTTCAGCTTCCAGAAGACCATTAGGTATAAGACAAGCCAAGGGTCCTCCCCAAGGGGCCAGAAGCTCATTAGGCTGGTCCCAGAGCAGGACCTCAAACACAGGATAAATTTAATAAAGGTGTGCCCCTGGGGGCCTCTGTCCTATCACCTTGCAGAAAATCTCCTGGTGTCATTCACAGCTCTAAAATTCCATGCATTTGGGCCTCTTCACTAAGAGACCCGTTCCGCTAGAGTCAGGCAGATACAGAAGAAAAGGAAACAAGCTCCCTCACTTTCCCACAGCTCTCTATCCACAGGCTAGGCATCCAGGCCAGTCTGAAGACAACCAAACACCAGGGTTTCCCAGCACCCACCTGGTTTAGGTCTGCCAGCATTCAGAAAGGGAGCCCATGGGAGAAGCTGAGACTTCTGGGTAAGCTGACTCCTTGAGGCAGACAGGCCTGGAGCCAAGCTCAGCCGAGAGCCAGAGAGGACAAGCTGGCCATGAGTTCCTTACCTGGAGTGGGATGACAATCATGAAGATCTTCTTGTCTTTATCAGACAGGATGTGCTTGATGAAGGCCCAGCCAGTGCCAATGAGCGCAATGGTGATGAACAACAGCGCCCCCTTCAGGCTGGAAGACAGAACAGTTCACAGAGACCACCAGGCCCATCAGGTTCTAGCCCTGCCAGTCACTGCCAGTGCACTCTATGATTCCATGGGCCATAATTACTGTGGTTGTTTCTGAGCCAGGGTCTCATGTTGCTCAGCTGTCTTGAACTCAGCTCACCATGTAGCTGAGGGTGATCTTAAACTTCTAATCTTCCTGTCTCCACTCCACCTCCTGAGTACTAAGATTCTAGGCTTATACTCCCATGTCTGGTTTATGCGGTGCTGGGAACACAGCGCAGGGCTCCATGCATGGCAGGCAAGCACCCTACCTGCCCAGTGCTAGCCCTGACTTGTACGTCATGGCAGGATTTCGGGCAGACCTGCATACTTACAGGTGAGTTATGTAGTACACGACAGCCCAGCCTTCGATCGGAAAACCTTGCGAAGAGATGTAGTGGTAGTCAATCTGAAATCAAACAGCTCTGTCTCAGAAAGGCTGCACTGCCGGGGCCTCAGCGCAGGCGAAAGCAATCAATTCCCCCAGGTCTGGGATGGGAACTGGGGAGTGCCCACCCTCCCCCTGTCTAACACCTCCCTCGCCAAGTCACCAGTAAGCACAAGAATGCTAACAAACGTCAGGAGCTGAGAAGGGCCCAGGCCCCTCTCCTGACACGCATGGGCAAATGGACACCTATTCTTTTCCTGAAGACCTCCAAGATCCAACTGCTACAAGTCTCTCACTCCCCAGTAGGGAACTTTGTCTCAAACACCTAGTGTTCTCATGAGAATAGCCAAGCTGGTCAGTAAAAGGATCTGTGTGCAGTGACCAGGCTTCCAGAATCTGTACGTTTAGAAACCTGAGGCTGCCAATGCATTTTAACTTTAGCAGCAAGATTCCGGCAAGACCCAGGATGCTGGCCTCCGCACACAGCTTTCATTCCCTAGGGACAACTGGATAGCAAGGTAACATTCTAACTGGTACAGTTTTGCTTTTTCCTATGACCCCATTTTCAAGTGCAGGAAGAAAGCAGACCAAGTGTGGTCTATGAGCCTGACAGGCGCCCACAGGCACCAGTTCTCAGCAGTCAAAGTGGAAGCTGGGTTCTCGGGCCTCCTTTACAGGGTCACTTTTTCCCTCCCAGGAAGTCTGCTAACACTGAACTTCAAATCACCAAGAGCAACACAAGGAAGTTTGCAATAGAGGAAGTCAGGGAAACAGTTCAGCAGGGGGCGCTCTCATCTCAGGAGGTAACAGACACTGGAATAAAAGGAAGTGTTGGGCTGGGCCAGCCTGAGCTAGAGTGAGACGCTATCTCAAAAACAGAAATTAATGAAATTAAAGGAAAAGCCAGTGTTCTAGAAGATGGGTCTGTAAGGAGGTTGGGAAACTGTGCTGATCCCAGCTCAGGGCCCCGGGGCTGCTATCCCCACAGAGGAGCTTAGTGAGACACTTTCTCTCCCCTTCGCTTCCAACCTGCTGTTCCCTTCTTTCTAGCTTCCTGCTCAAGGAGACATGTCTGTCATTTTATAAGTGACCCCAAATGCTAATACATACTGCATGGAACAGCAAGGAGAGAGATTTGGTGAAGGGAAGGGCAGCCATCAACCAGTGAATCTTAAACACGTCATTCCTATAAAAAGAGAGAAGGAAGAATGAAAACAAACCTCTATTCCCCCAAAGAACATCTAAAGCACCAGGGCTACATCTAGGCAAGCAGTAGACATCACCTGTGCAAACCATAAACACGAAGCCATGTTTTGACAAAGCAGCTTTTGCCAAAAGGAACGGCCTCAGAGTCCTAACATGGAGTCTGAACACAATTTAACGTGGTGGTTGGGAAGACAGGCAGGATGCATGCCCAGGCCCAGTAAGACGGACATCTGATACGGGCCATCAGCTCTCCCCCTGGAAACTACGCTGGATCAGCTACACAGGTTAAGAAAAAGGCAGGCAGGCCGCAGACACAGCACGGGAACCCCAAAAAGGCAGAAGTCGGTGAGTGTATCCTGAGGATGGCTGCACCCAGCACAGGAGAGCAGGGTACCAGTGAGGGGAATGTGCTGGTGTAGTCCTCTACCCTAGGGCTCCAGGCATTAAATTCCTCCTCCTATGTCCCCATCCCCCAGAATGACCCCGGTAAGACACACCAGACCATCTGGAGAAAAATGGAGACTTGATAAAGCACACAAAGACTTAAATAATCCCAGGACACACACACATTCTGATACACAGCATCCGCAACAGCAATAAACACGTGGAACAGGGGCAGTTCATCTGTTACCCAGAATGAACCAATGAATGGACAAGAACGCTCATAGTAAGACCCACACATGCGCAGAAGCTTGGTGGGAGAGCGTAACTCTGACGCAGTGGGAAGGATAGGCTAGCAACTGGCATGCGGGAAACCAGCTGGAGCCAACATGCAGAAGAGTTAAGTAAGGCTGGATCCACTTCCCCATTTCTAAAGAGGGCCCCCAGATGCACCTCAGCTGGAAATAGCAAGCGTGTTCTGTGATCCCGCAGGAGCAGAGGGCCCCTTAGGATCTAAGAAGCACTGCACCAAAGACCAACACTAGACAGCTGTGGTGCCACTAAAACCAAAGACCTTCAGTCAGCAATGCACACCACACACAAGCTTAATGACTAGAAGACAAAAATTGCAATGCGGTGACAGACAAGGGATCAAAGTCAGGGATATGCAAGAAACTCGTTCATGCAAAGCGACAGACAAAGACAAAAAACAACAGGAAAATACGCAAAACCAGGCGTGCGATGACAGTCCCTGTCAGGAACACGCAGAGACACGCAATAAGACAATGCAGCATGTTGGCCACACCAGACTGGCACATGCCGGGTCAGCAGTGATGACAGTGACAGGCTCAGGCTCTACTGGCAGAAGTGGACACAGCTGTGGCCACATGGCGGGCAATCAGGCAACACTTAATGAAATCCAAACAGAGTCAAAAGCAGCCCACAACCCTGTGGGCCTCCACCTGGGACAGTTCCTCAGAGGACAGGTCCCCAGGGGATCTCTGGAGGCAGAAGACAAGGACTCCTAGCACTAGCTGGAGACAGAGGAAACCTGGGTGTGCAATCATCCCCAAAGACTGCAGGGGCAGACATGGGACACAGCGCACAGGACAGAGAGGTGTAGCTGAAAGTCAGCCGGATGCAGCACAGCCGTGTGGTGATGGAAAAAGTGTGTCACTGCGTAAAAAATGTACAAGAGCTGTATCTGCAGACAACCCCTTCCGTAAATCTAAAATGTGAGAGAAGAAACCCACAACAGACATTGTTTCATTATTTACATGAATATACAAATGTCCCAAACTGTCTATTAAGCACATTGGATTGGCTATTCATGGCTGGGGAGGAGTAGGCAAGAGACAGGAAGTAGAGGTGAATAGTCATTCAGGGCAGGAGCGTGCAGAGCGATAATGAGGCCATACAAGCTGACGCACATTACTTTCCGGGCTGATATCCCTGGTACTTTCCTGTTCTAGTGCCCACTGACTTCAAGGTCAAAAAGGAACTTAAGACCAGAGCAGCCTGTCACTATGAATGGCAGCAAGCTTCTACCCAGAGTCCAACACTGCCTGCTGGAAAGGGCCATGTGCACTCTCACAGCCTGACAGCCTTGATTTGGGATCCCCAGTTAGCACGGCCATGCTGGGACAACGGGATGAAAGCCTGCAGTCTCCCAAGCCGGCAGCCTGGGCTAGGTTCTAGGCTACTGGTTCTGAGTTGACCTTGAGGACCTCCTCCTCTCTAAGCCTGTGTTCTCTTCTGGAACTGCACAGCACCTCCCCCCATTTCTACAGGAGGAGCAGCCCATCAGGTGCCTCTGGGCCCTGCCTCCCAGCAGCCCTCACCAGCAGACAGCCCTGAGCTCCAGCCTCAGTTCAGCCGGGTGATGCTGGCCAGGTCTCATTTCCCCTCTCTGGGCCTCAGGAAATTGTATGACAAAGATGTCTCACTCATTCCTGCTCACGGGGACTGCAGCCTCCCAACCCCTCTGGCAGCCCTGGGCTCACATATTCATATGACACGTAAATTCCTCCCAATCTACGGGCATACTGACCCTTAAGACTCCTGGAAAAACATGGGGATGGCTTGAATTACATCTTTCTGCATGCATATGATGCTTCCACACAAAATTTAAAACGTGACTGGTACAAAACTGTCAGCCCCACTTCCCCAGAGACTTAAAAATGTCACCACCATTTTCCCCCGGTGAACTGCAGGCGATGACCACTAAGGGAAACGGAGACATGGCCCCGTGGTGAGGAAGCTGGTTTAGAAGTACCCCACTCCCAAATCCCTCTTATCTGGGGGCCACAGAGCAAAGCCAAGGATCTAAAAGGCTTAAAGGAGGCAGGACAGTTACCACTGCCTTAGCTTTGTAGATGAGAGACAGAGAGAGGAAGGCACACAGGAAGCCACAGGGAGCAAGCCACAGGACCAAGCCAGGGAAGGCAGGGGACCGAGAAGGCAGGCAGGGAAGACCAAGAGCGAGAGGGGCACAGGGAGGCCACGGGAAGAGAGGGGCACAGGGACACCACGGGAAGAGGGGGCACAGGGACGCCATGGGAAGAGCGAGGGAGGCACAGGGAGGCCACGGAAAGAGAGGGGGCACACGGAGGCCACGGAAAGAGAGGCGGCACAGGGAGGCCACGGGAAGAGAGGGGCACAGAGACGCCACAGGAAGAGAGGAGCACAGAGATGCCACAGGAAGAGCGAGGGGCACAGGGAGGCCACGGGAAGAGCGAGGGAGGCACAGGGAGGCCACAGAAGGAGAGGGGGCAACAGAAGGAGAGGGGGCACAGGGAGGCCACGGAAAGAGAGGCGGCACAGGGAGGCCACGGGAAGAGAGAGGGCACAGGGAGGCCACGGGAAGAGCAAGAGGGGCACAGGGAGGCCACGGGAAGAGTGAGGGAGGCACAGGGAGACCACAGGAAGAGCGAGGGGCACAGGGAGGCCACGGCAAACGTCCACTTCTGACTCTTGGTTCTGTCTTTTCTAATACAGGCAAAAGGAAAACGTTCCTTTTTTTGATTTATGCAACGTTTTAATAAAAATCCCTATTTTGTAAAATTTAGATAATTTGTTAAATAAAATCTGTATACAGGATTATTTTATTTTTTGATACATGCATGTACATTGATGACATAGACTTCAAGACAGGAAAGACCTATCAGTGTGCCATAAAATAAATCCCTCAAAGAATACTTTTTAGTCTATAGCTTGGTCTCATTCTCAAAATATTAAAATTAAATGTAGAAATTGCATCACAACCCACAATGTCCCTAATCACACGTGGCTGGCTGGCTGATGCACAGCACTGCATGGAGCCAGAGGAACGGCTCAGTGGTTAAGAACACTGGCTGCTTTTGCAGAGGACTGGGGTTCAAATCCCAGCATTCACATGGTGACAAACAACCGGCTGTAACTGCAGTTCTAGGGAAATCTGACACCCTCTTATGACGACCTTGGGCACCACATGGCACAGGTGCACGCACACACATACAGGCAATACACTCATAAACATAAAATAAAAATGATAAACTGCTTTTTAAAGAGCACATTTCATGTCTTGAATCACAATTTTCTTCTAATATTGTATAAATTAGAAAAAACTACTAATGTGTACACTACACCATGGTTACCTAAACACATTATGAAAATGCACTGGGTGTTTCTTTTAAACAGCACTTCTTGTGAACTTACACTTTTGGTTAAATAATGCTACTTAGTAGCATGAATATAGTGACATTAACAAAATTTACTAAGAACTTCCCTTGGTATACATTTTACTTCATAAAATGATTTATTCTAGTCTGTGTATATGTGAAACTTCTTTTTTAATTTTTAAAAAATATTTTATTATTTTTATTTTATGTGTATGAGTGTATTGCCCACATGTGAGTGCACCCACGTCGTGCAATGCCACAGAGATCAGAAGAGGGCTTTGGATTCCCCTGGAACTGGAGTTAAGGACAGTTTGTAGCCACCATGTGGGTGCTGGGAATCGAACCTGGGTCCTCTGCAAGAGCAGTCAGTGCTCTTAACCGCTGAGCCATCTCTTCAGCCCTGAAACTTCGACCTCTTAAAATGACCAATATGTATAATTAGGAAACACTTCACACACACACACACACACACACACACACACACACACACACACACAGCAGAAAAGATTGTTTAAAAGGATTTATAGGGCTGGAGAGATGGCTTAGCAGTTAAGCAGAAGACCCAGGTTCGAACCCCAGCACCCACAAGACAGCTAACAACCTTTCGTAACTCCAGTTCCAGGGAATCAGACAGCCTCTTCTGACCCCCGCGGCACTGCATGACACAGGTGCGCTTACCTACATGCAGGCAATACATACATACACATAAAATAAAAATAATAAAAGGCTTTTTTGTCTTTTTGAGACAGGGTCTCCCTGTAGCCCCAGCTGTCCTGGGACTCATTATGTAGACCAGGCTGGCCTTGAACTCACAGAGATCCGCCTGCCCCTCCCTCCCAAGTGCTGAGATTAAAGGCGTGGGCTACCACACCCAGATGTATACATAATTCTTTTTTTTTTGGTCTTTTTTTGAGACAGGGTCTCCCTGTAGCCCCAGCTGGCCTGGAACTCACTATGTAGACCAGGCTGGCCTCGAACTCACAGAGACCCACCTGCCTCTGCCTCCCAAGTGCTGGGATTAAAGGTGTGTGCCACCACACCCGGCAATAAGATATTTTTTTTAAAAAAGGATGTTTAACATGCCAGCTCTATCTTCTAACATTAAAATCTACCTACCTTTTAACCTATTGCCTTATATGATTCATTTAACATAATTTTTAGAATCCTTTGTGGATTCCAAGAGGATCACATCGCCCCTTCTTCTGCTGACACAGAGACGGCAGCAGGAAATAAAGACTGATGACCCAGCACATCAGAGGCTCCCAGAATTACGGGGAGACGGCTTTACCTGACCATGTGACAAATGCCCCCAATCTTCTTCCCCCTTTGAGATGATTTTTTGTTTGACATAAATGACATAACAGTATCTAAGGACACACTATGACAAGAGGTCAACTATATTAATGTGGCAGACATTTTTCCTAGGATATATAATTTGGTGTTCTAAAAAATTTACCATATAGTTTAAGAGTACTTTAATCTGTCAGGTTTCAGGATCATACAACTTTCTTAAAGTCGACAGACACAATTTTTTCAGAGTAAGCTGTTAGACTAGATACTAAGTTAGACCTATTTCACATCTTGCCAAGTTTTCAGTTATATTCAGGCACAAAACTGAGCTAGTATAGAGTCTAGAAAAACATTCAGGTACTAAATATATTTCACTTTCTCTCAAAGATGAGCACATTTAAACATGGGATTCAGATTTATAAACCAATTTCATAAAAACATTATAAAACCATTTTGTCTTCCTTTGCAGGTACTTTAAGGATTTGGGGAACTTACAGCACCACCTGTCATTCTCCTTCACTGAAGGATACTGGAAATATTAAAGCTGGAGGAACTGAAAAGCTAGACGGGTTTAGTGCATCTGAGCTTAGTATGTCCAGGATTTAGGGAAAGAATGGATCCTTGACACCCCCTGCCCCGTGTAAGAGATATATTGATAATACAGTACTATTTCCATTTTTAAAATATTTTAAAACTTGCAGTTACCTTCAATTTTTTATAATTAATCAAATAAGAACTAAACACAAAAGAACTAAATAAAAAGTAGGTCATTAGGTCACAATCACATCTAATTAAAACTGGTTTTCTTTAAACAATTTCTTTAAAGATTATTATTTTTTTTAGCATTTTTGTTGAATTTTTGCTATTTCCAGACAATATAATTTAATGACATTTCTATCCCCTCTCCCATCCATTCCTCCCTACACCACCCCCCTCCCTTAATTCAATGTACTCTCTCTGGGTAATAGTCTAGAGTCTAACTTGAATCCCCAAATGTCCTCCAGTGTGGGCTCATCCACTCGAGCTTGCATAGGACTTGTGCATGCTGTCACCATTGCTGTGAGTTCATATGAGTAACTGACCAGCTGTCTGGAGAACTCTGCCCCTATGGTCGTCCACCACCTCTGGCTCTTATAATCTTTCCACCTCCTCCTCTGCCAATGATTCCAAGGTCCTGAGGTCCAGAAGCCTGACAGAGGCATTCCACCCAGAGATAAGTGCTCTGCAGCCCCTTTCTCCTTGCACACTAGAAAACTGTAAGTTTCTGTGTCAATCATCATCTGCTGCGTAAGGAAACTTCTCTGGTCAGAACTGAAAGATGCATTAAATCTTCAACAGTGGATGAGCACCTGACCCATCACAGTTCATTCTGATCATCCCTCCTGGGACTGGGAGTCCGTATTATTATGAGAGTACCACAGTTACCTCTCATAGGAGGGGGCCACAGCTCCAGCTCACAGGAGGGGTCCACAGCTCCTGCTCACAGGAGGGGACCACAGCTCCAGCTCATATGAGGGGTCCACAGCTTCAGTTCACAGGAGGGGAATCATAGCTCCAGCTCACAGGAGGGGACCACAGCTCCAGCTCGCAGGAGGGGACCACGGCTCCAGTTCAAATGAGGGGTCCACAGCTCCTGCTCACAGGAGGGGACCACAGCTCCAGTTCACAAGAGGGGAATCACAGCTCCAGTTCACAGGAGGGGACCACAGCTCTGACTCACAGGAGGGGAAAACGTTCTTTTTAATATTTTTTAACTATTTATTTATTTATATGTGTATATGCATATGTGCATGTTCGATCCAGGGTGTGCATGCAGAGGTCAGAGAATAACTTTCAGGAGTCAATTCTCTCTTTCTACCATCTGGGACCCAGGGATTGAACTCAGGCCATTAGCCTTGGGAGCAAGCACCTTTACCTGCTGTGCCATCTCATAAGCTAGGAAGACTCATTTTTAATAAACCAAGCTAGAGTCCTTGTCCTACACACTGAGTCTCTGTTAGAAGGAATCAGGTCATCAGGGCTTTCCATTTCTACCCCAGTGCTCCAGAGAAAGAGGTATTTGGGGTGCTTAATCATTTTGTGACCTTCAAGTAGTACAACAATACCAGGTCTGCATGCCAGTAAACGCATGGAAATGCATTGGCCTTTTAATATAAAACCTTCACACTATTTTGCTCCAGGTTTCCTTGGGAGGAAGAGAGAATTCCCACCTATGCAAACTGCTCCCTCAACATTGAGTACAGGAAGTCAAAGCCTTGGGGTTTCAGAACAAGAGCCAGAAGCCAGGCAGATGAACTTTGAAATGGATTCCCCAGGGCCAACTCCTGAAGGGCAACAGGGAGAATCCAGGGAGACTTTGAGTTGAAGCCTAAGTGCCAGGAGACTCCTAAGCTCCCACCAGGGCAGTGGGCATCATCACTAACCCTCTCAAGACGAAAGATACCGACTTACTCCCCATGAGTCCCTGCAGCACTCTGCTTGTTTGTGATGGCTGCTGGCACACGGCTTGCTGCTTTTTTTTTTTTTTGGTCTTTTTGAGACAGGGTCTCTCTGTAGCCCCAGCTGGCCTGGAACTCTCTACATAGACCAGGTTGGCCTCGAACTCACAGAGATCTGCCTGCTTTGCATCCCAAGTGCTTGGATTAAAGGCGTGAGCCGCCACCATGCCCAGCTGTACCTGCTTTTTAACAAAGCAATGCGAGCAAGCAAACAGGCAGAGCCTCCCACACCAGAGGCTGGCATGCGAGGATACTCCTCCTTAGGAAACAAAGACATAAGTGAGGGCCAAGGCCCCCCAGAGGCAGAATGCACCCCAGGGTTAAACTTTGCAAATCTGCACACAGAGTTTACCTTCGTTTTCGAAGGATGTGAATCCAGATGGTCCCAGAAAGGAAGAAGAAAAAGGCCATAGAAATGTACAACTTGGGGAGAGGGATTTCTCCCGCCGAGAGGTAGCTGTCAGGGTTCTTCTCAGTGATCTTAATCTGAAACCAACATAAAATCAAACTTTGCTCTTTAGGAACAGATCGGCCCCTACTCAGCAACGTGGACTCAGATGCTTCACTTAAGCCTCAGAGAGAGTGCCAGCAGGTGACGGGTACTGTGCTTAAAGTGGATGCTTGTGCCCTCCCAACTCTGCCTCCTGATTCAGAAACCCCCTGCTGGAGGACCCATGCACGGTGGGGAGCTAACTGGCCTCATCTTCTCACAATGGAGTTTCACACAGCCCCCTCCTGAGCTGGACCTGTCACTCAACAGCAAACTATAGGCTTAGTATGTACAAAGCTCTGAGTTTCATCCTTAGCACCAAAAACAAAACAACCAAAAGCCCTTCACAGAACCCACCGCCCCTACAGAGAAGCAGATGTCTAAATTTCACACTGACCACACCCATGGACGTCCCCATGTGGTACTCACATCAAGGCTGAAGGAAAACTTGTCGCTGGACTTTGAGTTCCTGCCTGGGCATTTGTGTAAATAAAGACTGTAAAGGCCTTCTTGGTCATCGGTGCTGATGTTGAAGGAGAACTGACAGTGAAGAAGAAAAGAAGATGCTCAGAACCCTCTGCTGAATGCAAGTCTTGGAAATAAGCAAGGAGCATGAACGACAGAAGAAATTAGACAAACTCAGATTCTCCCAGAACAGAGTCAAACGTGGTGTCCTCCTTCTATGGCCCCCAAGTTCTTTACACCAATGTTCAAGTGCACAGAACAGCTGACGAGTTGCACAGTGGGTTCTGAAGCTCACAGTCCCTGTACATGTCTCCCTAACCACCTGTCTGTGGTGTTCAGTTCAGGCTGGCAGAGAGGGGCAGAGATGCAGTTCCCTCATTTTCAAGGCAGCATACTACTTTACCATTGAGTTAAAAAATACTCCCTGAGGGGCTGGAGAGATGGCTCAGCAGTTAAGAACACTGTTCTTGCAGAAGACCCAGGTTTGAACCCCAGCACCCACATGGCAGCTAACAACTGTCCGTAACTCCAGTCCCAGGGGATCCGACAGCCTCTTCTGTCTGCCGTGGGCATTGAACGACACAGGTGCACTTACCTACATGCAGGCAACACATGCATACACATAAAAATAATAAATAAAATATATATTAAAAAAATACTCCCCCAAGCCAGGCATGGTGGCATACACCTTTAGTCCATGAGACAGAGGCAGGCAGATCTCTGTAAGTTCAAGGCCAGCCTGGTCTACATAGTGAGTTCCAGGCCAGCTTGGGCTACAGGGAGACCTTGTCTCAAAAAGACCAAAAAAAAACCCCAGCAAAGCAAAAACCCACTTTGATGTGTTGCACTGCCATGAGACTTTCCTATACAACTCATAACTGGGAATGCTGGGCAGGTGCATGGCCCCCGGGCCTCGGTGAACTCTCTGAAACGATGCCACCCTCAACTCTCACCAAGCGTCCTTTAAGGTATAGAACCATCAGCTTCTGTCATGCTGAGTAGGAGGCAGCACGGACTGATGGATGCAAGAGGCAAAGGGGTGGTGGCAAGAGCCAGGCAGAACCAGGTTAGATCTGGGCCCTAGCACGATGCACGTTCACAAAATTTCTCGTCAGAAGTATGATGTGTCTAGCAGGTGGAGCGAACATCCCAGCCATACACGGTTAGAGAGAGAGCTACTGTATCCAAGGGACTGAGCTGCAGCGAGTCTGAGTTACTACCCCTAAGCTCAAGGTGCCCCAAAGATTTACATCTCACACGGTAGAGAGGACATCTGTCACTCCAAGAAGACATACCTGAAACGAGACCGCCCCGTCGTCATTCTGAATGGAGAAGGCTTTCTCTCCTGTTGCCTAAAAGACACAATGGTCTGTTTCAGGATGATGGTGACGGAAAAGTGTTCAGTGAAGTAAAGCTGACTAAAAGACTTCTTAAATCTTAAACTGCTGACTTTCAAGAACTCTGAAAAGCCCAGTCACTGTCTTCCCAGTCTCTGAAATGCCCCCACACACAAGGCAGCTCCCCTTGCCCATTTCCTTCCCATTTCCTTCCATTTTGGCTGCTCTGCCAACTCCTTCCTAAGGCTTCCCCTGAGCGCCTCTCTATTTCAAAGCTTCCATGAGAGCAAGGATGCTGTCCCAGCACAGCAGGATGCTGCCCCAGCATAGCAGGATATCCCACCGAAACTCCAAATACCAGAGCATTGCCGCCTGCACAAGAGTATCAAGCCAGGGAGAGCCATCACTGACACAGTGGCAGTGGCGAACTCAAGTAGCTCTGGGCCAGACACAACAGCACGTCCTGCATGACTCCCCTACACGAAGCTCCCTGATCTGTTGTCCACTGTGGGGACAGCTCCGTGTGCTGTTGCAGGTGGAGGGGGGCCAGGATGGGAGGAACCTTGGAGATGGGGGGGGGAATAGGGCCTCTGAGGTAGTGAACACATTCACCATCTCGATTACAAGTCAAGCTTATCAAACTGCCCTCTGACTACCTGCAACTTACTGTAGGTCAATTACACCTTAAGGAGTCTATTAGAAGGAAGAAACTAACCAAGCAGCACAAAGCCGGGCACAGCAGCACAGACCTGCAATCCTAGCACTTGCGAGGCAGAAGCTACTGCTCCTTCTCTACACAAGCATCTCTCCTCTTCCCTTCCCTCCCCCACCTGCCTCCCACACAGGCCCCCTATTCATTCCACGGCTCTAGGCTAATCCAGATCCTTGCACTTCAAACCTGCAAGATCATAGCAGGTCCATTCTAGGCCCTCCAACAAACCCAGGCAACCTGCACAGTGTTTCCAGAATGATGAACTCCAAGAAATACAATTTCCACCAGCTTTTCCCGATCAAAGGCTCATAACAAGCTCCCCAGTCTACATGTCAATACCCTCTACTGCCTGGCCCTGTGCGACCTTGGGTCTCTCTGAGATCCTGTACTCCCATCACTTGTGCCGTGCAATCTAGCACTCCAATTAACTTTGAAACTGTTTGTGTATGCCAATGTTGTCTCCCCAGAGAGAAGACAGCTCCTTGCAGACGAAGCAGCACGTGCCACTTGTGCATGCAGGAAACACACATTTGGAAACACACAAGCAGGCACACATGTATATCCAGGAAAGCTAAGCCCGAGACGGTGGTTTGTTCTTACCTTCGAGTCCACTGTACTTCTTCTGGACTTTCCACTGTCTAGAAGCACAAGCATTGAACAGATGTTACTGCAGCATTATCTCACCCAGCTCCAGTTTATCTTAATGTCAGTAATTAAAACAAACAAATCTCTGCCAGGCATGGTGGCGCACGCCTTTAGTCCCAGCAGGTGGATATCTGTGAGTTCAAAGCCAGCCTGCTCTACATAGTGAGTTCCAGGCCAGCCCCACTACAGGGAGACCCTGTCTCAAAAACACCAAAAAATTTTACAAATTGAAAACAAACAAATCCTGTTAACTGCCACCTCTCCGGGACCCTGAGCTGTAGCAGGAAAGCAAATGCCATACTAGGAATGTTCTGAATCAAAGCCAACGAAGCCAACAGGGGACCTCGTGTGTGAATAATTCGCTATCAGGAGAGCTGCCACATGGAATCACTCCGGGTATTTCCTAAGTAACCACATTTGGAAGCAGGGCACTGTTCAACAAATATCTAATCTATGTGGAGGGAGGAGGGCTGGGGTGGATGTTAAAGCAGGCTCTCCACTGAGCCATACCACCAGTCTGGAACTGCAGGCTTGGTTTGTTTCTTCCCCACAGTAGTGTGTTGATATTACTAGTGGAGGGCTGGGGTGTAGCTCAGTTGGCAGAGTGCTTCCCTGGCATGCAACAGGCCCCAGGTTCCATAAAACTCCAGCACCACATAAAACTCAGTGTGGAGGCACAAGGATCAGAAGTTCAAAGTCATCTTTGGCTACATAGAGAATTCAAGGCTCACCTGTACTATGAGATCCTGTCTTAAAAAAGGAAGGAAGGAGGGAGGGAGGGAGGGAGGGAAGGAGGGAGGAGGGAGATTGCTAATGGTCTATTTCACAGAAACACTGCTAGTGGGCATCTGGCCCTCGCTTGTCCTTCAGACGCTCCTCCGGAAAGCCAGTTCAAGCTGGCTGCAGGAAGGGGGTGTTTCAAAGAGATAGTGCCAATACTATGAAAAGCAACCGTGTCCTGTGACCTGGAAACCCTAACTCCAGTAACCCACTGAAGGAGGATCTACATGAAATGTTTCCACACATGACGAAGCCCAACACTGCAGAGCCTGGAATAGAATGTAATGGCACCGCAGGACACCGAGGGGACACCTGCACTGTGGACGCAACAGGAGATGATGGGGTGAGGCGCACTAAACAAATAAGCACCCACAGAAAATCACAAACATGGCCAAGAGCTTTATGAAATCATAATGTTCTAGACTCAGGACCCAAGCCGAACAGGAAACAGAAGTTACTAGAAGTCTAACACTGAGAAGGAGCACTAACCTTTTCTCCCCATTTCCCACATTTTGGATAGCTACGTATTTTTGTGTAGCCTCCAAAACACAATGCTGAGACAACAGTGGATTACGCTCCCATTTACTTTCCAAAGCAGGTTTACCTTGGGCTCTCTGTGGCTGGCTGCCTGCATGGACAGAGCTGACGTTGGGCTCCTGGCTCCCACCGAGGATTTGTTCACCCTTACTGAAGATGATCTTTGGTAACTGTGCACCAGCTTCTGGTGGAGACCTGACTTTTATTCTATAAGATAGAAAGGGAGAAAGCTCAGAGCAGCGCTCCAGCCTCATTAAGGGCTCCATGCCAGGCCCTGGCTGGCGCTGTCTAAGCCCCTGTGCCATCCCTGCAACGTCCTATGAGGATCCTGCCATCCACATTGTACAGATGCTGAGACTGAGGCCAGAAAGGCAAAAAGCTTGCCCGTGGGGGGCTGTGCTCAGTTATAGGGCACCCGCCCAGCCTGCACAAGGCCCTGGGTCCCGTCCACAGCTGAGTGAGAATGCCACCAATCTCACGCAAAAGGAGGGTTTTAGCATCCACATGGTGCTGCTATACACCGCTCCCCGTAATGATCCCTAATGTGCTCATTAAGTGGTGGGTGCTGGGAACAGAACCCAGGCCCTCTGCAAGAGCAGATCATTCTCTTACCAGCTGAACCATCTCTCCAGTCCCTCCTTTCCCCTCCTTAACAGACCAAATTTTTGTGAGCCATTCCATCCCCAGTGATCTCGGTGACAATACCCAAGCCTGAGAAGACACCTGACCTAAGCCAGCATGTCCACCAGCTCTGCTCCACCTGGCTGTGAGGAGGCATTTCCTCTTCTCTGCCTCTGGTCAGAGATGAATGAGGAAACAGAGCCAGCTGGTGATAGCTGGGAGCACTGACTGAGGAAGGAGGCGACCCCAGGACGGCAGGGCAGAGACAAAGTCAAGACCCTAATGTGAGCACGCTACAGCTGCCCACTCCGAGCCTGCCTGCCACCGCTGGACTTCCGGGTGCACTGCCAGGCTCAGCCAAGCCTTCCGCTGCCAGCTGCTAAACACCCCAGCTCGGGAGCCCGTCAGCCTTCCTGTTCTCAGAGGACAGAGGCTGTGGTGAACAGAAAGCTGCGGTGAGGTCCACAGTGGCTCTACAGCACAGCACATATCTTAAGATGTTTCCTCATTGCTCTTTCTACTTCCAATCTTGTTCATCTCAAAAAACAAAAGTGCTCAATTTGGGCACATCATTCTTAGCCAAAAACCCTTGAAGATTCCCTCAGAAATCACACATAAGGGCAGGCAAGACGGTTCAGTGTGTAAAGCACTTGCTGTCAAGCCTGACAACCTGAGTTCAATCCTAGAGAAAGTGGACCCCACAAGCTGTACTCTGACTTTCACATGCACATATGTACACACACACACACGCACACACACACACACACACACACATTAATAAAGTCAGGGGCTGAAGAGATGGCTCAGCGGTTAGGAGAACTGGCTGCTCTTGCAGAGGACCCAGGCTGGGTTTCCAGCACCCACATGGTGACTAACAATCTTCTGTAATTCCAGTTCCAGGGGATCCAATGCCCTCCTCTGGCCTCCAAGGGCACTGCACAACACAGTTGTACTTAGACACATGCAGCCAATACACTCATACACATAAAATAAAATAAATTGTTTTAAAAAAGAAGAAAGTCAGATGTGGCAGTGTGTGTCTAACAATCCCAGTGCTGAGGAGGGAGAGACAGGACCCCTGGGGCTCACTGGCCAGCCAGTCTAGGCAAATCAGCAAGTTCCAGGTTCAGTGAGAAATCCTCCTGCCTCAAGAAAATATGGTGGTGAGGTAGACCAACTAAATCAACCTTCACATGCCCCTCTGATGAGAGAGAGAGAGAGAGAGAGAGAGAGAGAGAGACTGATTAATTATACACAAGAAACCCAGACAGTGGCCAGATGAAAACGAGCTTTAACTTAAAAATACAAAATTCTCCTAATTCACCTAAAGTCCAAATTTTTAAAAAATTTGTGTGTTTGTGGTTTTCAGAGACAGGATCTCCCTGTAGTCCCAGCTGGCCTGGAACTTGTTATACACACTAGGCTGGCCTCATGCAGCTTAAGTTCAAATGTTTAAGAAAGACTGAAATGCCAGGCATGGTGGTATACCCCTTTAATCCCAGCAGAGGCAGGCGGATCTCTGTGAGTTCAAGGCCAGCCTGGTCTAAGTAGTGAGTTCCAGGATACAGGGAGATCCTGTCTCAAAAAGACCAAAATGCCAGAATCCTCACCAGCTGCCTTTTTTTATGCAATGTGGGTCGCACGTGTTTGTGTGGGACTGATCTGAGGGCCTCATGTGTCCTGCAGCGGAACAGCCACTCACCACACTCTCTGCAGACTCCACTGCTCAGGTAGGAAGGACTGAGCCCCAAAGTCACACAGCCTGTGGACAGGAGATATCTGGCCCCAGCCCTGCTTCTCAGCTGCTTCCTCTGAAGGTGCTGTTCGCACCAGCAAAGCCAGCGTGCTGATGCGCATGCTACTCCACACCACTATCTTTGGACAGACCCTCCCTCTGCTGTGGGTGTGGACGCAGCAGAAGGCTGCCTGGGCAACCCTGACCTGAAGCTTCCCGACCCTTCCCTTCCATGATGTCCAAGCCATCCGCCCTTCTCTACTTGGCTGTAGCTACTTGGAGGCTCTTCCATTTCCCTCATCATGTGTCTCGGCTCTGAACCCAGCACACAACGGGAGCAGGGCAGAAGCCCAGTGACTGCTAGCGTACGGCCACGACCCTCGCTGCACTCAAGGGTAGAGCAGTAGGAACTAGAGAAGTACTTACTCACTTCTGGAGATGTTTAGGATTAGAAGGGTGACAGATGACACAGACTGTTTCCTTAAAATACAGTAATTCACATCTTCATCCTGCCAAAAAAGGAGCAGCCATATCATCTTCATTCTCACAAAAACACGGCAGCAGTGACGCTGTGGGTATGGCTCTGAAATGCCTGGAAGCCACAACAGCTGCCTCCTGAGGACGGCAAGGTGGGCAGCAGGGTGTCTGGACCTCCAGTGAGACTATCAATCAGGCTGTCACTTAACACTGGGATGCTGGAGAGGTGACTCACTGGTTAGGAGCATACTGCTCTTGCAGAGGTCCTGAGTTCAGATCCCAGTACCCACATCAGACAGCTCAGCACTGCCTGTAACTGCAGATCCAGGGGACACCACTCTGGTCTTCACAGGGTCCTGCACGCATATACCCATACACAGAGAAACACATAGAATCAAAAAATAAAAAAAAAAAACCCTAAAAAAAAAGATTAACCAGGTAAGCTAGGAGTGGTGGTATATGCTTGCAACCCTAGCACTGGGAAGGCAGAGGCAGGAATCAGGAGTTCAAGGACAGCCTGGGGTTAGACAGCAAATACCAGACTAGTCTAGGATGCATAACTCCCTGTCTCAAAAAACTTACCAAAGTAAAAGCCAGGTGTGGCAGCTCAGGTCTACAACCCCAGCACTTGGGGGGCTGAGGCAAGAGAATGGCCGCAAGCCTGAGGCCATCCTGGGCTGCAGAGTGAGAGCTGCCATCCCGCCACCTCCTAAAACCAACCAACCAACCAGCAAAAACTTACCAGGTAAGAAGAAAAACCATCGTTCTTGGTCCGATCTAGACTGAATCCGATCTGCAGGTGGCAAAGAGAGGGGAGCAGGTGTTCTCTTACTGTACGAGCCTTTCTTACTCAAAGAGCAGGAGAGGGTAAGGAAGAAAGAAAGAACATATCAACAGCGCTCTCCGGGCCTGGCTTCTATTTTTTAGCACTCTTGAAGAAAGCAATAGCTGCTGGAGTAAAATCACCACTTAGCACATCTATTCCAGAACCGCAGCTTAGGGCTGGCTGTGGCCCAGCGGCAGAGAGCCTGTCCAGCCTGGGAAAGGTGCGGGGTCTACCCCCGCCCAGCCCCCAGCACTGCAACACTGACAAGAGACCAATTACAACTCCAAAATAAAAGTGAAGCTGTGCCTGAGAGCGCACTGTGTGCTACCGAGATTAATTTTGTCCGCAGCAGACATGGAGGGCGGGGCCTCTCGGCAAAGCTGAAGAGCAGCCCTGACCCGTGGGAAGGCACTTGCCTCAGCATCCTTGTCCATGGTTCTCTTAGGCTCATTCACAGAGAGGCTGCTGACGTTGACCAACATGTACCCGTCCTTGAAGAAGCCAAAGGTGTTCAGATGGACTTTATGCCTCACGTCATCCTAAAGAGACAGTGATTGGCGTCTGATTATGCAACCTATTCATTTGCGCAAAAACTATGGCACCCAGTTTCCCACTGGGTAGCCGAAACTCTCACAGGTGCGGAGAGACTCAGCTCTCCCAAGCGATCCCTCCAAAGCTGAAAGGTACTGTGCAGAAATTCCTAAGACTTTAACAGTTCTGCAGAAGGCAGCACACAGCGGGGTCATTCATTCCACATGCTTGTTCGGACTCTGGGGCAAATGCTGTGGTCAGGGTCCACTGATGTGTGAATTATACAGGAAGGATGAACCAGTTTCTCTTTTTAAAAAAAATATTTTGCTGGGCGTGGTGGCGCACGCCTTTAATCCCAGCACTCAGGAGGCAGAGGCAGGCGGATCTCTGTGAGTTCGAGGCCAGCCTGGTCTACACAGTGAGTTCCAGGACAGCTGGGGCTTCAGGGAGACCCTGTCTCAAAAAGACCAAAAAAGAAAAAAAAAATTGTATTTTATGTGTATGTGTGTATTGCCTGCATGTAGGTCAGTGCACCCATGCTGTGCAATGCCCACGGAGGTCAGAAGAGGCTGTCGGATCCCCTGGGACTGGAGTTACAGACAGCTGTTAGCTGCCATGTGGGTGCTGGGATTCGAACCCGGGTCTTCTGCAAGAAGAACCAATGTTCTTAACCACTGAGCCATGTCTACACACACACACACCCGCCAAATGAACCATAGTTTCTTTAGTCACGCCTGTATCCTTCCTGACAGAACAGACTCTGGTATCAGGTTCACACTCAAAACATGCCAGGGGCAGGGCATGGTAGCTCACACTTTTAATCCCAGTGCTCAGGAGGCACAGCAAGGCAGATCTCTTGTGAGATCAAGGCCAGCCTGATCTACATAGTGAGTTCCAAGCCAGCCTGGGATATAAGAAGACCCTGTCTCAAAAAACAAAACAAAGCAAACAAGTCAGGAGGGGAGGAAAGGAGTGACAAAGCGAATGCAAACACACCTACTGACCACAGCTCCTTAGTCTGCAGGCACCTGCTCCGCCCCCAGCAGGGTGAAGGGTCACACACAATTTTCTAATCTAGAATTCAAAATTCTGTAATAGGTTCATTTTGTAAGGATACGGAGTGATGGGTCTTCAGGTAACAACATTTATGTACAAGGACTCCAGTCAAGTGGACATGGGCCTACAAGGCAAGGGGAAATCCTGGGTCCTGCTGAAACTGCAGTTCACATGGAGATATCCGTCTCCAGCTGACTGCCTCCATATCCTGACTACAATCTCAACCAAGCCAACACACTCCAAGGCCAGAAGGACACTGGTGTCCGCAAACGTTTCCAAACTGGGACTTCACAAGGGACTTCGTCCTCTGTAACGCTACTGAGTGTTCTGCTGAGAAGTGCTTGCCTAACTTACAGCACCTTCAATAAACATTCAAACTTCCTAAGCATCAAAGGTCGCCTATAACCAAGGCTGCCAATGGGACCCTCGGCAGGATTCACACGAGCACATCTCCAGCCTCTCGACAGAGTTCAATACACTGGGATGATGCCAGGTAGGTAATTCTGGCCTGACTCTGGTTCCCCTCCCCACTGGCTCTGAGGGTTCTGCCCATGTACCCTCAGATCTGAGAGCTTGCCCTGAGTTCCTATAATGTCTCAGGGTAGCTCAGGCTTTCTTCTTCTATTACTTGGTTCCAACTCCCTCTTCCCTCTTTTTTTTTTTTTCAGTCCCCTGGGAGTTTCCCTTAGTGTTCCAAGAGTTCAGCTAGGCATTCAAAGCATGCTTACCCACCTTTACTTCCCAGTGGAATGGGAGGAGCTTGTAGCAGCCTACACTATCACAGAGGACAAGCAGAAAAGCAGACAGGATGAGTCACCTGTGCCGTGCCACTCCACACCACACCACACCACGCCACGCCACAGAGAACTAACTACTAAGGACAAAGCCAGAAAAGCGAACTCCCGGCCCGTCAGCACTCAGACGGAGTTAGCCCTGCAGAAGGTGACCTGGGCAACTGCTCTTTCAGTTTTCCATGGGGACGTGCGTGCCCACGACATCCTGGGTACTCAGAGGGAAATTAACCCAACTACACGTGACAACATTCAGGCCTCCTGGGCTGGGCTGCAGAGAGGACAAGAACACAGGGCTCCTACGCACAACCACGCGGACTAACACGGAAGCCCAGCAGACAAGGCAAGGTGGGGTTTGGGGAGGAGGATGGGTCAGGACAATGGCTACTCCCCAGAGAAGTGGACTTTCAGGCACCTGAGGGAAAGCAGGGCTGAAGAATGTTCTGGACACACTCGGTAACTATTTTCTACTGGCTACACTATGTGTATGTTGTAGAAAATACACTAGGTTGTACATGTAGATGGCTAATTTTCAGCATGTATGAATAATTAAATTTTTAATTATTTTATTTATTTTCTTATTTGAGTATGTGAACATATGCATGCATGTCATGGTATACATGTAGAGGCCAGAGGACAACGTGCAGGAGTCAATTCTCTCCTTCCATCACATGCGTCCCGGGGATTGAACCCGGGTCATCAGGCTGGCTGCAAGAGTTTTTACCCACTGAGACACCGTGCTGGCTCCAAAATTTAAATTCTAAGAGTCTGCTTCTAATTTTCCCACCATGCAGGGACTTTACACAGACCAGAAACATGAGGAGTACGTCCTATGTTCATGTAGTCTACCTCATCCCATGTTTTCTAGGTTTTGCCATTAGTGCTTTAGGGTTTTGCCAACGCCAGGGGTAGAACCCAGGACTCCGACCTGCCTCACTCCTGACCCAGCCTCAGCCCTCTAGCTATTTTCTTAGAAAAGGTTCGAACTGTGACCCCTCGTTTTTGTTATTTCAGTTGCAGTCTTATGACAGTTTTAAAACATAAATAGTACATTGTTCATTACTCTTTCCTATCTCTGTCATCACTTATTTTGACGATACAATGCCATAAAGACAGGCGCTGGGGGCTGGAGAGATGGCTCAGCAGTTAAGAGCACTGGCTGCTCTTGCAGAGGACCTGGGTTTGATTCCCAGCACCCACATGGTGACTAACAACCATCTGTAACTCCAGCTCCAGGGGATCCAACACCCTCTTCTGACCTCCGTAGGCACTGCACGACATGGGTGCACCTAACCTACATGCAAGCAATACACTCATATCACATGCATAAAATAAAAATAATAAAATATCAGGGCTGGAGAGGTGGCTCAGCGGTTAAGAGTACTGACTGCTCTTGCAGAGGACCCAGTTTCGATTCCCAGCACCCACATGGCAGCTACGAACTGTCCTTAACTCCAGTTCCAGGGGAATCCGAAGCCCTCTTCTGACCTCCGTGGCATTGCACGACACGGGTGCAATCACATACATGTAGGCAATACACTCATACACATAAAGTTAAAATAATAAATTTTAAAAATAATAATAAATAAAATATTAAAAAACAAAACCAGAAGAACAGGCTTTGGAGGCTGGAGAGACGGCTCAGCAGTTAAGAGCATTGGCTGATCTTGCTGAGGACCTGGGTTTGGTTCCCAGCACCTTCATGGAGCTAACAACTGTCCATAACTCCAGGTTAAGGGATTTGATGCCCTCTTCCGACCTTCCTGCACACCTGTGGCGCATAAACATGTAGGTATGACACTCATACACATAAAAATAAATAAATCTTAAAAAAAAAAAAGAGCCAGGCATGGTGGTACACACCTTTAATCCTAGCACTCAGGAGGCAGAGGCAGGCAGATCTCTGTGAGATTGAAGCCAGTCTGGTCTACACAGTGAGCTCCAGGCCAGCCAGGACTATATAGCAAGACCTTATAAGTAAGTCTCAAAATAAATAAACAAAAGCAGGTTTTGAACCAGGTATGGTAGCACAGACCTGTAATCCCAGCACTTGGGAGGCTGGTACAGGAGGACTGCCCTAAATTCAAGGCCAATCTGAGCTATATATGACTCTGTCTCAGGAAAAAAAGGGGGTGCTTTTTTTTGTTTTGTTTTCTTGTGGTACTAGAGATCGAATCTAGGGCCTTGGATGCTAAGCAAGGGCTCAACTGCGGAGCCACAACCCCAGGCCAAAACCATGGTTCTGAAAATTAACCTCGAGAATCATGGGGGGTCCAAGTACTGGGGAGACAGAGGCCAGCCAGGGCTGCATAGTTGAGACCTCAATGCCCCACCCTGAAAAAAGAATCATGGCAACATCACAAGGACTGTGGTTTATGTACTTTCCAAGAACCAGGCTCCTGACATGGTGGCACACACTTGTAACCCCAGTACTTGGGAGACAGAGGCAGAAGCATCAGTGTTCACAGAGAAGGTGCAGCAGGACACTCAGCTCAACAGTCTACCTCTCCTTCCTGCTGCTCTGAAGGAAAGGGCAGTGGAAAGAGCATGGGGTGGAGAAAGGAGGCACTAGAGCAAAGCGGGTCTGCCACAGCAAAGAGAAGATGCTGCCAGACACAAGCAAGAGACCGGACACCGTTGACAACCATCTGGCCGCTTCCTTTGCATGGACACAGCCATGAAGGTTGTCCATCTCCCCAAGGATTTCAGGGCCTACAAGTGTGCACTGGCACCCAGTAGGCACTGAAGAGCCATCGTCATGCCTCCCCTTACAACAGATCCAGCACCCTGAGAACCAGGCTGAGAGGTGAAGCCTGCTTACCACCAGTAGCAGAATTAGCACCGCAGGTGCAAAGCCCACACCTGGGTTCTTAACCCCCCCCCATACTCTTCAAAACTAAACAGTGCATCTTCTGCTTTGCTCTGAACTAGTTTTCATAACACAGGAGTTGAAAGCATCAGTTCATGGTCAATTTTGTCCCCGTACACACTCCTCCCTATCCCCACGACCAATTACTGAGGAACAAATCCCAGACCTCCAACTGTTTCCTCTACCAGTATTTCAGATCCATCATCTCACCAATTGTCAATTTAAAGAGATGTCACCCTTTTATTACCAGGCCAACAGAACACAGTCTACTCTCCCTCACTGCTAGCACAGT